AACTGTCACAAAGTGGATGGGGCTGGGCGGTGGGATTTTGTGCAACCTCACATCAAGAGGAATTGGAAATCAAAAGTAGGATTTTAAAAAGTGACCATTTCCTTCTTCAAATCAGGACAGAGTTGAGTTTGGGGTGTGAGGCCCACAATACAATAGAAATATTTGGCAGGCAAAAAGCACCATAATGGGGCAAGATTTGCACAGCCCAGCAGGGAAATGGAGGAAGATTATCAGTGGGGATACCCTTCTCTGTCCCCACAGGGGTGGGTAATGTGTGGAATATTTCAGTGTAATGTGTTGCTTTCACTCCAGTGACATCAGTTTTTCTTCACCCCATCTGTTTGCTAAAGATTACACAGTAGGGTGTGGGGAACAGAGAAAAACCTCAGGCTTCTCAATTTAAAACTATAGAGAGGGTTTCTCTCACTGGAAGCACAGACTTCCCACAAGACCTCTTTCTGTCCCAGGCAAGGGCCTTTATAGCGCCCCTCAGATCCCAGGCCAATCCCTGATTGGCTGCTTCAGCCTCCCTCTATACAAACGAGCCACCTGACCATGTCTGCTGAATGTAACGAGGGTGCAGGTGGCCCCAAGTGGGGAAGGCGGCTCATAGGACGGCCAGGTGTCTGGTTTTTGACTGGAAAGTCCTGTTGAAAAGGGGACCTGGCAGTGTCCAGTCAGATGTACTGACCAGACACTGAAAGTCAGGTTGCTATGGGGGGAAGGAGCTGGGTCGTCAATCCGCGCCAGCCCCTGCTCAGCTGGGGCCACCTCCTCCCTGCAGGCAGGTTCCAAGTCAGGCTGCAGCAGCTCCTGTCCCAGCCCTGGAGCAGAGGGAGCCCAGCTGGTGGGGGAAGGGAGGTGGTGACAATCCAGTTATGGGAGGTGGAGAGCAGTGAGCAATGGGGGGAGGAGGGGAAGGAGTGGGGCACAGGGCCTTGGGGGAAGGAGGCAGAACAGGGGGCGGGATGAGGCGGAGCAGGGGCAGGACCCGGGGGAATAGGAGGGCCGGGGTGGGGCCTAGGGGGTCTGGTTTTCAGCCTAGAGAAAGTTGGCAAAGTAGGCTCAGAATGTCCGAGGTGACAGTTAAACTGACATAACCGATGCCTGGGGATTGGGAGGGGGAATTTAGAAAAGGAGGATGGGGGTCGGGGGGGGGAGGGATTCAGGCCTGGATAGAGGAAGAGGTGGGAGTAATTTACAGGGGCAAAAAGGGAGAGGATTTGAGGGATGGGCGTAGGGGTGACTCTAGAAGGGGCAAGGTGAGGGGCAATGTGAGCAAGCTTGGGGGAAGCAGAGGAGGGAGGATTTGGGGAGTTGATGGGGTGGGGTCTGGGCTGGGGGAGGTTTCAGGGGCAGAGGGGAGAAAAGAGTCCAGAGAAGGGGGTAGATGAAAAGAAGGAAACAGGAGGAGTCTGGGGAGGAGAGGATCTGTTTTGAAAAGGAATAGTGCAATTTACTCGGGGGTAGGGGGAGGTTATTAAGAGGGTGAGGGGCTCTGTTTCCCCAACTACTTCCTAGCCCCCAATGCTGTGGGGGACGGACATTTTCCCCTCTCACCTGAGAGAGTGCTGGGCCTTTACCTGGCCGGGCCAGGCTCCAGCAGGGCCCAGTTCCAGTCTGAGGCTCAGACCTTTCCCAGCCCCCAGATCTGGCTGCTATTGTGGCTTCCTGCGCCCCGTCCCATCAGTCCAGCTGGGCCCCTCTGCCCCGGATGGGGCACGGGACTCTCAGGATGGGGCTGTTTGTGCTGCAGTCTCAGCCCCCACTGAGTGCCTATCCCAGAGGAGCTGCTGCCCTGTCCCCCTCAGGCCAAGCAGCCCTGGGCTGAAGGGGAGAAGATGGCGACTGAGGAACAAGCAACCATGAACAGGCTGGTTCTGTCCCTGACCTGGAAGTATGGGGAGAGAACTGGGTCATGGGGTCAGTCCCAATCCTGTCCCATCTGTGTCCCAGTCACACATTTCTGTCGGTTTGATTTAGGGTGACCAGATGTCCCGATTTTATAGGGACAGTTCCGATATATGGGGCTTTTTCTTATATAGGCGCTTATTACCCCCCAACCCCGTCCCGATTTTTCACACTTTCTATCTGGTCACCCCAGTTTGATTATAATTTAAAATCCTCTCAGCTCCCCTGTAGCTGAGAAAAATCCCACTCCTGAGGTTGAGGTTTAGCTATTTACTCCAACAACTCATTCACTGCTCCTGCCTCTGTGGTGATTGACCTGTGCCCCATTGTGCCTGGGCCCCCCTCTGAGAGTCCATATGGCTCAGATCTCCATGGAATGTATCCACTGCACCAGCAGCCCCTTTCCTCAAGGTGAGCTGGGTATCCCTCTATCTCTATGGTACTGTCTGACTGTGTGATGTGCTGGGGGCATCTGTGGGAACAGCCCACCCTAAATCACTGACCAACCAGGTTTCCTTAATGGCGGTTTCCTTAAAATAAATTGTTATTGGAATTGTATTTATTCTGGCCATCACCATAATATCTGAGCACCTTCCACAAGTTAAAAAATGGACAGTATTATCCTGTCCTTGCCACTTATAGCTCGGTCACATTTTCAAATACAACTGAGCTTCATAGTGCTAATAGGACCCCAAAGTGAGGCTTAGAAACTTTGGGCTTTTTGTTTTATTTTAATGAATCTGTGAGATTAAGGATACTGTTGGAGGAAAGTTTTGGGGAAGAGGGTTTTGCATTTAGCTTCAGATTAATGATCACTCTTTTTTCTTCTGGCAGGGAGCTTCCAGTTCTTGTTCCAGCTCCAGTGAACGGCCCATGTCCCCAGATTAATTAAACAAGAGCTCCATGGCATTGATTTATAGGGGTAAGTATGTGCATGTGAGCCTCCTCTCCACAGCTTTCTCCGCTATAGTACATTGGAAATGAAGACTTGCCTACAGCCACATTGGAACCAGTTTAACTAAATGTGTGTTTTTAAACTGATTTAATTAAATTAGAGCAAGTGTGGGACTAAACATTTTTAAATTTGAGTGGCTTATTGTAGTATAGTTTATGGGCTAGTCTACACACAACTATTCTTTATGCTCAAAGAGTTGTTATACTTTGCTGTCAAACTGGGAGGACGTATCTAGTGGGGTCATGCAGTGGTCAGTCCTCGGTTTGGTACTATTCAATATTTTCATTAATGACTTGGATAATGGAATGGAGAGTATGCTCTTAAAATTGGCAAATGGGAGGGGTTCCAAGCACTTTGGAGGGGAGGTTTAAAATTCAAAATCACTTTGATTCATTGGAGAATTGGTCTGACTTGAACAAGATGAAATTCAATAAAGATAAGTGCAAAGTACTTCACTTAGGAAGGAAAAATCAAATGCATAACTACAAATGGCCAATAACTGTGTAAGCATTACTACTGATGAAAAGGATCTGGGGGTTATACTGGATCACAAATAGAATATGAGTCAACAACGTGATGCAGTTCCAAAAAAAATGGCTAATATTTTGGGGTGTATTAACAAGGGTATTGTATGCTGCTCTACTTGGCATTAGTGAGGCCTCAGCTGGAGTACTGTGCTCAGTTTTGGGAGAGATAGAATCCAGAGGAGAGCAACAAAAATGATCAAAGGTTTAGAAATCCTGACATATGAGGAAAGTTAAAATAACTGGGCATACTTAGTTTTGAGAAAAGAAGACTGAGGGAGGACCTCATGACAGTTTTCAAATATGTTAAGGGCTGTTACAAAGAGGACTGTGACCATTTGTTTTACATGTCCACTGAAGGTAGGACAAGAAATAATGGGCTTAATCTGTAGCAAGGGAGATTTAGGCTAGGTATTAGGAAAAACTTTCTAAGTCTAAGAGTAGTTAAGCTCTGGAATAGGTTTCCAAGGAAGTTTGTGGGATCCCGATCCTTGGAGGTTTTTAAGAACAGTCTGGACAAATACCTGTGAGGGATAGTCTACTTGATCCAGTCCTGTCTTCGCAGGACTTGATAGACTTGATGGTTCCTCAAGGTCCATTCCAGCCCTGCATTTCTGTGATTCTTTGATTTTAGGACCTTGGAAAAAGCCACCTGGGAACTGTACAGAAGATCAAACAACAACCAAACATAGCATTTTAGAATTTTATTTTTAACTGTAAATGCACAAATAGACTGATTAACCCATGGCTTCCTTTGTGTAACTGGAAAATAAAACACACAGATATAGTATATATAGAAAAATCTAGAAAAGCTTTCATAATATTGTAGGAATTGCACCATGACAAACCTAGTGTGCATTTCAAGCAATTTGAAAAATCTGTCTTAAAATATTAGGGAAAAAAAAAAAAAAAGGGATCGTGTGGGTTTTGCTGCTGTGGGAACCTGGGACACAGTTTCACCCTATAGTCAGAATATCTGACACTGGACACCATTTAAATGAGAGTGCAACATCTATTCACTCCATGCCTTGTCTCTTGTTCTTTGCCCCCTTTGGGATAGGTAGTTAGCACACCACAAGATGATAGTAGGGAATAGTCCTACACAGAGAGCTCAGGGCCTGCATCTAGGGCCAGTACCAGTACAAATAGTGCAAAGTGAAATCCTTAGGCCCCACTTAGGTACCATGTGGGCCCTGTTTGTATATTATTTTGTCTGGAGATTACCCAGGTTATACTAATATTAAAATGTGTTTTTATACCTTGATGTAGCACAAGTGGATAAATTATCTATTCTTGGGGCTAACATCACAATTGGAGCACTTCTCTGGGCGCTAGATGACAGTTTGTTCCACTGAAACTCGGCTGCCGAAGACAAATTTTCTAGATGTATCTAAGGTAATTCGATGAGTTCAGAAATCCCAATTTTGAATGCTTTACTTGTTGTTTGTAGAACAAATTGTCATGAAAAAAACCCTTTGTGTTTCTATTGAGCTCCATTTGGAAGCTGCAAACTCAAATTGAGTTTTCTCACATGCTGTTTAAATACTCTGTAGGAAATATATTTCACTGTTGTAGGTGTACCAGCATATACATCCCATTTAAACAGGCTCTCAGTATATTGGCTTTTTCATATTGAAGACTTCCTCCAGGCTCTCCAGTGCGTGCTCTTTGGTTATTTCCCCCCAGTCTCTTGGGAGATCAGCTGGTTCAACATCATACTCTTTAGCAAACTGTTCATTGAACTCCTTAAACACAAACTTCCAGTAATTGGAAGCACTGAGGCTGGGATCTGGCTGAATGCACCAGTCTGGGTAATAGCAGCGATAATCTTTGTAGGGATGAGGTTTCCATTGTGTGTCTGAATTTCTAAATTTCTCATTTGAAACCACATCTTCAGAACATGAGGAATGTTCAAGCCTTTGTGTGTTGTTACTTCCATCATGCCATAATCCTTTAGGCCGATGTACAGTTGCAAAGTGCTCTTTATGGTCAGTACCTCCTGCTTCACAGGGGACTTTACAGAATGGACACTGCTTCCCACAGCCAAACATTCGCTTATAGATTTCATCCTGGGGCTTCAGCGACAGCTGTGAGAGTTTAGTCTCCATTTCCAAACTTTTAAATTGAACTAAGATTTCCTTTTCCAGATTAGGAAGAAAAGACCGAATAAAAGCAGAGAACTCATCCGTATTTTCTGTGTTTATAAACCGTATCCCAATTAAATTTTCCTTAGATATGATCAGGTCCGTCTGCAGCAATTGACAAAAGTTGTCTAAAAAGGCAGAAACTGTGTCAATCTTTTTTATTCTGGAGTTTTCTAGAGCCTCCATGACTTTTTTTATTATTTTGGACAGACTTTCTCTTTCCAAATCTTCCAAACTGTCTGTCTGTCTATAGTGATCTAGCAGGCATCTCCATACCCATGTTTTGACAAACACTTCATAGCTTTTAATATATTTCACATAGTTACTGAAATTCATCTGCTTCAGCAGCTTCTTCTGCATAGTGAACTGGAAGGAGCTCCGGTTGTTGTATTCAGTGGACTGTCCCCTCCTGAGAAAGTCTTCCACTATCTCTATCCCTAGTCTCTTGTTGACATAGTCTAGCAGGGCAGGTCTCAGACACTGATCACAGAAATCCTTGGCCCTTCTTTGGCAGGCATCCTCCTTGTGCAAGTAAAGGTCTCTAAATCTTGAGAGATAGTGAGGTTTCTGTTTCTGCAGATGTTTCTGAGGATCATTTTCATTGACAAAATCTTCGTGCATTTTCTGAAATGCATGAGCCACTTCCCCCAAAATGTGAAGCTTCAGATCAACTTCAAAGAGACCGCTAGTATGAAGTTTTGAAACATCCTCCTGTTGGAGCCTCTCATTGATCATGTACAACAATTCTCTGCAATAGGTTTCATGATAGCCGAGTTTGGAATTTACAATTTTTTCACCATAACTTCTGCACTGGTCCATTAAGGATTTGACAAGTTCCTCTGCTTTATAGCGGAGTTTCTGTGTCAAACCTTTTCTTCTGGTTTTCAAACCACGTGTGTCTATATATTCCTCTTTCATCTTGAAAGAATTCATTTTATAATTCAACAAGTTTCCTGCTTCTTGTAGCTTCTTATTCACTGCACTTCCACGATTCCTCAGGTCCCTTCTCAGCTGGAACTCCACATCCTGATAAATGTCACATTTTGGTAAAGAGAAAGGGTTTAACTCTCTTAATGATTTTTTCCACATTTTTTCAAATTCTGCTTCCACTTCTTTATTGTCTAATTCACATTCCCTCTTCCCATGATCTTCCAAAATCTTGCCAACTTTCCCTTCAATTTGTTTCATACATTCAGTCAGGATATTGTCTATCTTGTGTTGGCCTTCTTTAATGTGAATGGTTTCCTCACACTTATACATGGAATAACATTCAAGTTCTTCTTTGAGGCTTTTTGCACTCCTGGTGAAATCTTCTGCATACTTTTCTATCAAGTGAAGATTTGTTGCTCGACTTTCAAAATACTGTTGTAAATTATTCAAGATCCTTTGTTCACCACACATTAACTTCTCCTGCATCTCAACTTTTAAGTTACCAACATGCAGTTCATCAGGGGTATGATTATGAATTAGAGTTTCTTTTTCTAATACCCAGAGATGCATTTTCTTGCGGAAACCCCACTCCCACTCTGCATACTTGGCAGACAGCCGGTTGTAGGCCTCAGCTATGAGGCTGTTTCTGAAGCTGAAGATGAAGTTCTCGTGTTTTATAGCATGCCATAGACTCTTCACCCATTCGATAAATTGAGGAATGTCTTTGGGAGCTCTGTTGTCTGAACATTTCATTAATTCATACAGATATTTCTTTAATTCGCACACACTTTCACTGTATCCTATATTCACTGGAGCCATGGGAGGGACTCCATGCCACAGGCCAGGGATGTACCAATTGTGTTTTTCTGGCTCATACTCCATAATATCAGAAAATGTCATTTCCCTGCTTAGTTTTTCCATCTTTGCTGCAGCTTTGGTCATTTTGTTCAGCTGTTCCAGGAGGTGTTCCCTGTCCCGCATGTTTTGTTTATAAGCAGACACATCACTGACATTCTGATGCACAAATTGGCAATTACGCTTTTGTCCTATTTCTTCCATTCTGAGAAAGGCATGGACCACAATTTGCAGAACATCCTTCATTTCAGTGGCATTCTCCATGGCCAAGTTAACAATCGTTATGTCACTCAGTCCAATCACCAGGGTGGCCAGCTCATTGTCATGTTCATAACTATCCTCTTGTTTGGCCAGTTCAGGGGCTTTCAAACCTTCTGCATCTATCACCAGGATGAAATCACAACCCAGTTCCTGCTGAAAGTTCTCTGCCACTTTAATGAGTGACATGAAGGCTCCTTTTGTGCATCGGCCACTGCTCACTGCAAACTGCAGGCCGAACATGGTGTTGAGGAGGGTGGATTTCCCAGTGCTCTGCACTCCCAGCACCGATAGAACCAGCATTCTGGACCTTCCCCCCAGCTTGGCATGGAGCTCAGTCAGAACATCTGTCACCCACTGCAGTGGGATGTTGGATGCATCTCCATCGATGAGCTCCATGGGAAACCCTTCCAGCATCAGGTCAGCTGCTATGCCTGGGACATGGAGGAACTGCCTTTGCTTTTCTGCCTTGATTCCTTTTTTCCCCATTGAGCACTCTGCTTCATAAAACTGCCCTAACTCACGAATGAAATGTTCAACACCTAAGGTACTGACATCTTCCTTGAGGTTATCTCCTAATGGTTCACGTTTTGATTTATATTCAGCCCATAGTTTAGAAAGATTCTCCCTAGATATACAATCCAGGTCAAATTTCATCCAGTTCAGGAAGTAATGTCTCTCCACTGGAAGTAACTCTAACCCTATCCCATGAAGAAACTTACTCAAACTATGAGTCAGGTTGAATTGATTCTGCTGTGTTCTTAACGCCAATAATTCCTCTCTCAGCTGAGATTTATATTTCTCTGTGGGGGTGTTCGATTGCCGTTTCATACGGCACAGTTCTTTTTCCACCTTAGCCAGGTTTTTCCATAGATCTCCTTGGAGCTTCAGCATTTCACTCCTGTACTTTGGCAAATCTTTTACCTCCTTAGTTATTTCTTTAGAACACTTTCTTGCATTCTGACATTCCTCACAGTCCTCATCTATCAGGATTTTTAATTCTTGGGCTGTCACAACCATGTCTTCAATACTCACTGTCTTGGGAGAAGAGTTCATTATGCTCCCTATAGTGGATTGCAGTGATTTAAGAAAAGCTGTCTTATTGCTGGTCCTGTCTTTCACCAGTAGTTGTGATCTATTCAGTTTTAGTATTGGGGCTAATTTATTCAGGAATTCCAGGGTTTCGCTGTGTTTCCCAGGTTGGGCCTTGAGGATGAAGTAGTATTTAGTTGTTGATGCTTTCAGAGAGGATAACAGTTTATATTCTCTTTCACTGACTCTGTCAGTAACTATGAACACTGCTGTTGAGACCTCTGTTAAAAAGCGAAATTGTAGATCGTGAGACTCAATGTCTCCACGCAGATTTGTAACTGCAATGGCTTCTGGGAAGATATCTGAATTTTCCCTTCCTCTAGGAAAATACCAGGAAATCTCTACCAGTCCATTGGCGATTTCCCGAGGGATGTTCCCAGACTCCATGTCCCGATGGACAAAGAAATCCTGGTGCTGCTGGGAGGAGCTGAGTAGCTCATTGAGAAGTTTAGACTTGGAGAAGCTGCAGCTCCCCATCTGCACAAAGGAAATGGTTGGCATTTTTGTGAGCACCAGGCTCTCCTCTCTGAACCCTGTGCTCTCTGCCAAGGAGTGCGGCCTCCACTTCCTCACAATGTCCCTCATGGCCCACAGCATTAGGGTGCATGTCGGGGTGTCGAGGGCAGGCAGTAGCAGAGGGAGGGCAAACTGGCACATGGACATTTTTGACAGGATTTGCTGTTGTAGGAAACTGTCTGAGCAACCCAGAATGGCACAGAGAACATCGAGGGGGTGCAGAGAATCATTAGTGTCAGTGTTCAGAACAGTGAAAATATCATCAATATCCATATCTTCTTCATCCTCATTGGTTCCTTGATCATCAGATACCATCTGCACTAGACTTGTGTTTCTGGCCGTCCCATTCAAAGCCATGACCTTCCTCAGGAAATGCCATGGTAAATCTCCTAAAGTCTGAGGAGTCCAGTTCTGTAGACTTTCCAACCTGATTTCCAGGACATCCCTAAGTCTGAGCTTCTTGCTTTTGTGCTGCTCCAGGTTTAACTTGGAGAGGATGTTCTGAAATGCTCTTCTTTCTACTGAAATATGTTAAGACATGAAAATTAATTTCAGAATAATTTGTTATGCATACATTTTTTACACATTTTTATTTTGACAATGTGGTTGTTACTTAAGGATTATATATACCATTAGCTTGTAAATGCCAGCTATATTTAAAGTTGCTTAACGGTTGCCACTAGCACCCATATTTAAAGTGACCTACAATTATTAGGGTGTACATATGGTGTTCTCCATATCCCCAGTATATCTGAAGAATTGCCCATGGAAGATTTTTTTAAAAATATGAAACTGTGTAATTTTTATATCTCTGATAACCTTGTCATTTAATCATTCACTGGTTTTATGTTACCTTTTCACAAAGCTGCATGGGAAAACTTCCATATCAAGAGAGGTTGAAAAGATGAAGCTTGTGTGCTTTAGAGAGGAGGTGAATAAAAGGAGACATGATAGAAAGTAATTCAGTGCAGGGATTGTCTCTTTTATATGCTTGTACAGTGTTCAGCGCAATGAGGCTCCAATCGCTATAGTGACCTTTGGGCACTTTAGTAATTTAAATATTTAATAATAATGGGATGGAAAATAGTTCCTGTTGTAGAGAAGGTAGTTCAGGCACTTTTATTCACCCTTTCTCGTAATACAAGAAAAATGGGGATGGTTAAATAAACTGAAAGGCAGCAAATTTAAAATGTATAAAACAAAACACTTTATTACACAACGTATAATCAACCTGAAGACCTCGTTATGGAATAATGAATCATTCCATAGTTAAGGATGTAATTAAACATCAAATATAGGCTGGATTCTGTGCCTCCTCCCCACACACACACACACACACACACACACACACACACATCCTTTCTAAAATCCACCAAAAAATCGTCATTTGGTCTCCAAATTCATAGGTTTTGGTCTGGGCATAAAGTAGTATAGTCTGTTAACTCTGAAGTGACTTGAGGGAGCGGTTCTTGAATTCTGACATCCTGATCACTAGAATGGCCAAAACCACAACAGCTTCAGAAAGAAGGAGAGAAACAACCCTCCTTTCCTGGTCTCCACTACCTGAGATCTAGTGTTCTAGAACTTTGGTTGATCAAAGTCAAATTTTAAAATGTAGCTATGGTATGTTAGTACCTACTAGCTAAGTATATAATATCAAAGGGGTTCTGAAGACCTAACCTTGTATTTAAAAACAAGTAAGTTCCTACCCTTTTCCTTGCAAAGACAAAAAAAAAAAAAAGAATTCCTGTCATGGGGGTGAATTGTCAACAGAACAAAAAATGAATTTATTCCCCTAAAAGGTTCACAGACTTCATAACACTTGTGCAGGTCTAAGTACCTGAGAAGACTACTAAAGATACTGAGGGTTAATAGCTTCTACAGGTCTCAGGAGGGTTTTGGGGAAATATCTCCCCAGCCTTCTCCCCCTGCAGCCCAGCCCCTGGTCCCTGAAGGCCTCCTGATGCCCTATGACAATTCTGTGTGGCTCACAGCTCCTGGCAAGCCCCTCATGCTCCTATCATTCTTCTTCTATGTCACCCTTTCCTCCCAAGACTCAAAAACTAAAGCAAAAATATTTTAAAGTACATCAGAAATAGACCACCTGCCAAACAACCAGTGGGGCCACTGGACGATGGAGATGCTGAACGAGCACTTCAGAGAGATAAGGCCAATGCAGAGAAACTTAATGAATTCTTTGCATCAGTCTTCATTGCAGAGGACCTGCGCTTATGTTGGTGTAACTTATGTTACCTGGGGGTGGGGGGAGCTTATTCACAACCTGAGCAATAGAAGTTATACCGACATAAGTGGTAGTGTAGACATAGCCAAATATAAAATTGCAGAACTATCAAGTGTGGTATGTAATCTATAACTTAAATCAGCTTCTGTACCAGATGACTGGAGGATAGTTAATGTGACATCATTTTTTTAATGATGGTGATTAAAATGATGATGATCCAGAGGTGATCCCGACAATTACAAGCTGGTAAGCCTAACCTCAGTACCCGGCAAACTGGTTGAAACTATAGGAAATAAAAGAATTATCAGACACCTAGATGAACACGATTTGTTGGGGAAGAGTCAACATAGTTTCTGTAAAGGAAAATCATGCCTCACCAATCTACTAGAATTCTTTGAGGGGGTCAACAAGTATGTGGAAAAGGGGGATCCAGTGAATATAGTGTATTTAGATTTTCAGAAAGCCTTTGACAAGGTCTTTCACCAAAGGCCCTTAAAGAAAGTAAGCCCTCGTGGGATAAGAGGGTAGGATCTCTATCATGGATCAATAACTGGTTAAAAGATAGGAAACAGAGGGTAGGAATGAATGGTTAATTTTCCAAATGGAGAGAGGTAAATAGTGGTGTCCCCTGGGATCTGTATTGGGACCAGTGCTGTTCAACATATTTATAAATGAGTTGAAAAAAGGGGTAAACAGTGAGGTGGCAAAGTTTTCAGATAAAACAAAATTACTCAAGATAATTAAGTCCAAAGATAACTGTTGCACTTACAACAGGATCCCACAGAACTGGGTGACTGAGCAACAAAACAGTGGATGAAATTCAAAGTTGATAAATACAAACTAATGCACAATGAAAAACATAATCCCAACTATACAGACAAAATGATGGGGTCTAAATTACCTATTATCACTCAAGAAAGAGATCTTAGAATCTTAGACTCACAGGACTGGAAGGGACCTCGAGAGGCCATCAAGTCCAGTCCCCTGCACTCATGGCAGGACCAGCACCATCTAGACCATCCCTGACAGGTGTTTGTCTAACCTGCTCTTAAAAAGTTCCAATGATGGAGATTCCACAACCTCCCTAGGCAATTTATCCCAGTGCTTAACCACCCTGACAGTTAGGAAGTTTTTCCTAATGTCCAACCTAAACCGCCCTTGCTGCAATTTAAGCCCATTGCTTCTTGTTTTATCATCAGAGGCTAAGGAGAACAATTTTTCTGCCTCCTCCTTGTAACAACCTTTTAGATACTCGAAAACTGTTATCATGCCCCCCCGCTCAGTCTTCTCTTTTCCAGACTAAACAAACCTCATTCTTTTAATCTTCCCCCATAGCTCTTGTTTTCTAGACCTTTCATCATTTTTGTTGCTCTTCTCTGGACTTTCTCAAATTTTTCCACATCTTTCCTAAAATGTGGCACCCAGAACTGGACACAATACTCCAGTTGAGGCCTAATCAGCATGGAGTAGAGTGGAAGAATTACTTCTCATGTCCTGCTTACAAGACTCCTACTAATACATCCCAGAATGATGTTTGCTTTTTTTGCAACAGTGTCACACTGTTGACTCATATTTAGCTTGTGGTCCACTGTGACTCCTAGATCCCTTTCTGCAGTACGTGGTCATTTCCCATTCAGTATATGTGTAACTGATTGTTCCTTCCTAAGTGGAGTACTTTGTATTTGTCCTTATTGAATATCATCCTGTTTACCTCAGACCATTTCTCCAGTTTGTCCAGATCATTTTGAATTTTCATCCTATCCTCCAAAGGTCTTGTAACCCCACCCAGCTTCATATCATCCGCAAACTTTATAAGTGTACCCTCTATGCCATTGTCTAAATAGTTGATGAAGACATTGAAAAGAACCGGACCCAGAACTGATCCCTTTGGAACCCCGCTCGTTACGCACTTCCAGCCTGACTGTGAACCATTGATAACTACTCTCTGGGAATGGTTATCCAACCATTTATGCACTCACTTTATAGTAGCTGCATCTAGATTGTATTTCCCTAGTTTGTTAATGAGAATCTTAACAAACTAGGGAATCTTAGAGTCTTAGTGGATAGTTCTTTGAAAGCATCCCCTCAATGTGCAGTGGCAGTCAAAAAAGCTAACAATGTTGGGAACCATTAGGAAAGGGATAGATAATAAGAGAGAAAATATCATAATGCCACAATATAAATCCATGGTATGCCCGCACCTTTGATTATTGCGTGCAGTTCTAGTTGCCTCACCTCAAAAAAAGATATATTAGAATTGGAAAAGGTGCAGAGAAGGGCAACAAAAATTATTAAGGGCATGTGTCAGCTTCTATATGAGGAGAGGTTAAAAAGACTGGGACTTTTCAGTTTGGAAAAGAGACAACTAAGAGAGGATATGATAGAGATCTATAACAACTTGAACAATGTGGAAATGAATAAGAAAGTGTTGTTTACTCCTTCACATAACAGAAAAACCAGAGTTCACCCAATGAAATTAATAGGAGGCCAGGTTTAAAAGAAACAAAAGGCAGTACTTCTTCACACAACACACAGTCAAGCTGTGGAATTTGTTGCCAAAGATGTTGTGAAGGCAAAAAGTACAACGTGGTTCAAAAAAAGAATTAGATAAGTTCATTGAGAATAGGTCCATCAATGGCTTTTAGATGGTTAGGGATTCAACCCCGAGCTCTGGGTGTCCCTAGCCTCTGACTGCCAGAAGCTGGGAATGGACAACAGGGGATGGATCACTCAAAAATTGCCCTGTTCTGTTCATTCCCTCTGGGGCACCTGCAGTCAGAAGACAAGACACTTGGCGAGATGGACCACTGGACTGTTCATATGTTCTTAAGCACCTTGTTGTTTGTGGAGTATTTAGGAGCAGCTCAGCTGGTGCAGGAGGAGAAGATATAAAGGAAGCAGTAACACTAGGCACACTGATGTGTTGCCTGGGAGTGCCTTCTTCATCTGATTAACCTGCTGTGGTCTGTAGGAGCAGATGAGCCATACAAGATGAGTCATACAAGATTCACTGGAAGGAAAAGGAAGGAGAAAGTGCTAGTTTTTCACCATTACTTTCTTCTCCTCCTCCCCACTTGGACCTTCTGCTTCTAGCAGCTCCTCCCGCTGAAAAACCAGAGGCTATCTGGTT